AAGAGATGTTGTTTCTTTCATGATGTATACCATGTTATATACAATATCAAATAAAGAAATGATGCTTACCTATGAGGGGAACCCCCCCAAAAAAAGAAAATAATGATCATTTTTATCTAGACAGCTCCAATCACCCCATATACTTAAATGTGTATAAACTTTATTGCATATCGGACATTTGGCTTCTAAATCAGTATATTTAAATACTGTACATTCCGATGCTATGCATTCGATTTAGTATATGTCAAGAAAGGAAATCGGTTCTGTACTGCTTCAATAATCACATCTTTCTCTTCCGGAAATTTAAAAATCTTAATACAGTAATACAGTCTTGCAACGGATGATTATCAGCGTTTTTGATTTGTTTAGATTTGGAAGTTTCAGAGTTTATCCAAGGATCAAGCCCGGTTTTTTTCTTATATATTTTATATATCTTGGAACGAAGTTTATCAGATATAGTGGTTGGCAAATCAGTTAATTTGGAATACCAATCCAGATATTTGGGGGATAATATTTTATCAGACTTGGTCTGTGTATCCATGTTGCCGTTTTATATGAGTACAAAACAATTTAAATTCTCGCATCGGGTATTACAAGTAGGATAACAATTGGTGAAGCAGGCACAGCCAAAAAAAATATTAATTTCGTATTATTGAATACTGATATGTTATAAAGTGAGGACAAATAAATTTTATTTATGTAGATATTTGAATTTCGCGCTGTTCACATTTAATATAGTATGATAATGCAGAGCATTGAATCTCCGATTCCCCAGTTCATATCTACCTTCTATACTTTCCTCTTCATCATGTTCTAATTTGCATATTGGGCATAATGCCCTCGTCAGTAATTCCGTAATAATCGATATTTTTATCACTAAATTCATAATATACTGTAGGTCGGAATATTGCTCCAACTTTTTGTTACGGACATAAGCATAATCATTTCTTGGATTCTTGGGTTGAGATGCAGATAATATATCCAATGTACTTACCTTAAAGATTTAACTTCCTCAATTATCTTATCTTCTGAATTGCTGGAAGGAGCGGTTATACTATCTGTTTCTATTTCAGATGAGATTTTTCAGGGACCGCCGGTCTTGGAAATTTCTGTATTTTCGGACGAAATTTGATGTCCTGCATTATCTGTATCGACGTTCTGACAAGAATAATTTATAATCTCTTGAATTTGATCATTAGTAAGCTTTGAAATGGAATTCGCACTATATGATTTAATGTATTTGATTTTATCATGGCCTATTTTTTCGAATAATATATAAAATTTCTCAGCTCTCTGAGTTTTTTTACGCAAGGATCCCACGATACTTCTGGAAGATGTAAACCCAATTCTTGAGATCTTTTTTTACGGATAATAGAAAGCTGTTTTATAATGGAATCATACAGTAAGCTTCTTGCCTTCTTTTCACTAATTTTACCTCCGCTACTCACTATAATCTCATTATATTGAAGTCTGAAATCCTTTGCATATAGAGACCAATATAAAATTTCTTCTTGATTAGCTCGATTTGCTCTATCTTCAGCATCGAAAGCTTTATCACATAATTGAGCTAGATGTTGCCATGCTTCGGTCAATGTTAGTTTCTCCAGAACCGCTGGTCTCTGAAATTTCACTCACATGGTTTTGAATTATTTGCGATTCTTGTAGAGACGGCTCTAGAGTAAATAATTCTTGGATCAACCCCTGACCACCTTTTACATTCAGGGGAGATTTAGTATCCTGGGGAGTTATGATTTTCTCTTGATCTCGAAGCTTCTTCTCCTTAATATTTTGAATTATCTCTTTACTAACCTTTTCCTTATACGTTGAATCCAGGAAATCGTCAACCTCCTTGTCTTCCAATAATTTAGACTCTGTGCAGATAGATTGGTATATATCGGAATTTGAAACATTAGAATTTGAAGTGTTAGCTGTTATATTGGATGCAGAAGCATCATTACCAAAGGCAGTCATAGAGAGGCTAGAATTTGAAGTATTATCGGTTATATCGGATATAGGAGTATCATTAGAAATTTCCATTTCGGAAGAGTTGATATTAACCAAAGATTGTGAAACATTAGTAATACTTTTTCCCCCCCTGCTCTAGTTTCGTGATTCTGGCTTCATGTCCTTCTATATCTTGTCTTAATTTAGCGTTCTCGTTTCTAAGTTCAGTATTTTCAGCCAAAAGTCTAGCGTTCTCTTGTTTCAATAGATCTAGTTCAGATTTGGTATCTCCCATTGTTTTGTATAAAATACGAATATATTCAAATAAAAAAAAATTTTGCGAGACCGGCGGTCCCGGAAAAATGCCAAGAAAAATTTAATCAACCATGATCGATACATGATATACCCACAATGAGCGAATCAAGCCTCGCTGATATATTTACATGAGGAAAATCGTGATGAATTTCTAGTATATAATTATGAAAAGATGGGCAAAATCTAGACTATCGCTTCGTTGTACTATTCGGGATCGGGCAACGGATCTTCTGCTTTCAATCCACGTCGTGCACGCGACAAATCTAAAAGAAAGTAGTTGATTATTAAGATCTGTTTTTTAACCCATATAGTTATAACAAAATAACTTGCCGATACGTCCTCTCCTGCAATCGGTTGACGCTGGTGGGATTCGAATTTGACTCGCTTTTGGCTTGTCAAGTATGATTCGGTTATTCAGATCTCGTGCATCATTGAGATCTCGCCCAGGAATCGAAGAAACAATCGATCCACATGAATCCCTCTCAATTCCCGCTTTCAGATCATCATAAATAGAAGAAAAATTACGCATATTATGGAAGAATAAGCTATGAACAAAATAAACGATACTGTGCCGGATCCCTCGAGTTACTGGAAAATTTTCATGTAGAAGGAGACATGAGGAAAATGTGACGACCTGCCCTGGACGAAGTGGAATTACGATCTGAAGCTGGGAGAAGCAAAGTTCTCCTCCATCAAAATCCCCCAATGCGACCAAGCAACAGAGACTATTCGGTTCATCATGTTCATCCCACTGATTATATTGAAATTAATCATGATCATAGGAAAAATCCTGAATCGAAATTTATCTTGAAAGACCTTCGCGCTACATCTTAGTTTCGTATACATCTCCCTATAATTTTCTTGAATAAAATGGTTGATACAATTAGATAACGGTACCAGCTCATAAATCAACCTATCGATACATTCTTGGCATTTGGAATTATGTATGCTGACTGTGTTTGAACTAGTGTATAGAAGGAGATTATATAATATATATGCCCCAAAATGTTCGATAAAGTTCTCCCAGAACCTATCGCTTTGATAAGAATTGTTTAATGTTGTCATATATCGTTTCTACCTCAGGAGAAAGATAAAGACAGAGAACTAGTAGCAGGGAGGCACTTTAGATGGA